GGAAATACAATGTGCAGGATTGATGTTTAACTAGACCACAGTATATGCAAGTATAGTAAACTTTAAATAATAAAAGTAAGCATTTATATCTATATAGTGGAAACATAACCTGCATAAAAAAAATAAATAAAATCACCCCTATTAAAGCAATGGATGTTAATTACCATGACTTTGTCATTTCAAAAGCCTCCATAGGTGTTATTGTAGTATAGCATCTGGATTGTAACATATGATGTACTAGTTACATACAGTATATATTGTGACATAGTAATCACCTTTGTTCTTTTGTCCCACAACATGATCTTGTCATTTGCCCTTCTACATGCAATATTGTACAAAATTGTTTAATTTGTTCAAAGAAGCCTAGACAGACCACTGCTCCATTTAAGATTATACTTTTGATCTTAGTGTGACATGCAATAATACGCTGCACCTTATGTGATGGATTATTTTCACTAATATTTGTCTATATATAAGAGTTGAAGTCAAAGGAAACTCTTGAATTGGTTCTCAAACAATCCCAGATCACTTTTCTTTTTTGCACTCACATTCAGAACAAAACCTTAGATTTTTTCAGAAAATTGTAACTTTATAGTGAGCAGTTACTGCTCTGACCATTCTCTCATTTCCATCAGTTATTGGCAATTTATATTTGTGCTTAAAATGTATACACAAAATATACTTTATTCTTTTAACTCACGTTAAAATGTAAAACTAATTTCTTTAAACATTTTTTGTCTCAAAGTTGTTCTGGCTTTTTTGTAAAGAATTTTATTTAACCTCATTGTAACCTGCAAATGGTGCTTTACAAATAAACCTGTCCTGACTTGACCTCCTTTCGGGATTGGTTTTTCATGCAAAGCTTCCTTTCAGGACGGGTTTATCAAGCAAAGCTTTATACAAATACTGACCTTTAGAAAACAAAGCAATACTTAAATAATGGGCACTCCCATATTGCCACATAGAAAATTCAGCACAGTATTTTAGCTGTGCCACCGGGCTGCGGACCGGTACCGGGCCGCACAGAAAAAAATCCATATATATAATTTATCCACGAGTCTGAGTGATGTTTTATTTAGAAAAATATAAAAAGTTGGGGTATTCTCTCCCAATTACATCAGTCGGTGCATCTGTGCCTCTTCACACTGGTTAATTTAGTCAAGACGCATCCTATCTATAACCCTAACCCGCATCCTATTTCCTGCGGTTAGAGCGACCAAAAGAAAGCTACAGAACAGACTGGACATCAGGAGCACACTTCTTATCATTGTCTCTGGGTTACGCCTAGATGGGACTGAGCCCTGAGCTTCAGAAAAACAAGCTCAGGGCTCCCACTAATTAAACATAATGGTGAGTCTTATTTTTATGCTGTTTGTATTTGATTGTATGCCAGTCGTATTATTTTATTCATCATATTTACCCCCCACACTTTAAAGACCGGTCTGTGAAAATATTGTCTGACATATAACCGGTCCGTGGCGCAAAAAAGGTTGGGGACCGCTGCTCTAGCACACGTATCATTTACATTCTGACCGGTCTAACTAGGGAGTACCAATATGGCTTCACAGCACCAAGTACTACCAACGGCCTATCAGTGGTTCAGTGAATAAATAGAGATCAGTGGTTATAGGCACCAGCAGCAGAAATGCCACACAGATTATTTACAGGGGACAAAGACACTCTCAACAACTGGACATTATGGATTCTAACCTCGATAAATGCTGCCATCAACATTTTTCAGTGTTGTAGGAGCTAATCATTTAATCAAATAACTCATAGTTGGTTGTTTGAATATTTTATTTCACCACTGCAATTTAATTCACCAATTCACAAAATGTTAAAGGCACTCTACAGATAATTTAATCAGATCATACAGATTGGTTAAACATTTTCAAAGCAAAACCAGATGATTGCATGGAGACAGCACCTTTTCTGGATAAGCATGTAGCTGCATTAGATATTTGTCTGCAGTTTCTTTAACTGTACAGCAATCCTTTACCCAGCATACTGAAGAGTCGGGCTATAACGGCCTGTTGGCTTATTGCTGAAGTGTGGCCTCTAGGCTTTGTTATGCTGATGACACTTTATTTTGAAGATAAGCTTAAGTCATTGGCTTAGACTTCAATAGTTTTCCTAGCTCTAAACATTGAAATCCCTAGTGCTGATCTAAACATTTGAAAACTGAAACAATGTTAGGATTATATGCATGTATAAGTATAATTGCTTTACTTTTAAATCGAGAACTTTTACCCATATAGTGTTTATTTGCTCAAAGAGGCAAACTTCATGGATAAAAGACAAGATGCACAATAAGAGCATTTTAACAAAGAGGTTCAAGCATGCACAACAATGCAGCTCAGATTGCTGTTGAAGAACACCTTGCCATCTTTTTCAGTGCTGCACTTGTTCCTAAGGAGATCCAGAATTCCAGCTCTGACCTCTGGGGTGAAGGATTCAGAGAAGTGGTCTCTTCCCGTCATGAAACTCAGCAGACGTTCTCCTGTAACGCTGCTCTGGTCGAAGCACTCTGTGATGTCAAAGCTGTTGGGAACAGGATGTTCTTCAAATTTAAGGCCTTGTTCTTTAAGGCAGGCAATGACCTCTCCTGATGAGCGGTACTCATCAATGCTTCCACACTTGCACAGCTCCTTCGCAAAAGTCTTCCACAGGATGTCCCAACCACTGTTAGCTGGATTGTAGAAAAGAAATAAAATAACGACAATATGAGAGGCAAATGACAAATAGAGAGGCAAATTCCATTTTACTTATTGCCTTCAAGCAGACCATAATGTTTAAACATTTGTCAAATAATCCTGGACAAAGGATAGCTACACAGATTTATATCAAATTTCACAAATTTGAATTTGATTTACCTGCTTCAACAATGATCATGAGTTTGCCATTGTTTTTAAGGAGGCTATGATGAAACTTGATGCTTTCACTCAGGTTATTTAGATAGTAGATCATCTGTTAAAGAAAGCATTCAATACAACGACTTGAATATTTGCATAATGTAAATGTCAATTTTTGCCTTCATTTATTTTTCATCACTAGGTCACTTAACTTAGAAACATGAAAACAAAAACCTATTAAAATAACATATTTTTTTCTACATTTACCAAACGGAACTCATAACATATGCAAAGAATAGATAAATAAAAAAAAAAGCTAGAAGAGCACTCCAAGAGCAAAGACCTCCATCAAACAGCAGATTTCCCCCCATATTGTGACTTAAACCTAAAGTTGAAACCTGCACACCCATTATAACCAATCGTAGTGTTTTACATCACAATCATGCCCTTAAATATTTTCATTTGGATTTTATAAAGACCATTACAAAGCAGGATATACTTACAAATTACAATATAAGTGATTGAGGGTTGCAAACCCCTTTCAGAAATACAAATCTTTAAAAATAAAGTGTTTATTCAGACTTTGCTTGCCTGAACCCATGGAGCAAACCTTTTATTATTACAGCAGTTTTTTTTGTGTGCACATCTCATGGGTGTTGTCCGGCCATGAGGTGAACCTTCACTCAATAAAGAAGTCTTTTGTTGCTGCTAAATAGGTTTCTTCCTGAAGTTTTAAGTTGTATTTAGCAAATTCTTTTTTTGCCATCAACCATCACCAGCCTCCCTCTTCCTGCTGAAGAACAGAATTCCAAAATTACTGACCTCCACAAAGATTCAGCATAGAATTGTGTGCTTTTTTAAAGCCCAGCATTAGCTTTACTCCCCATAAGTTGTGTGGCATGTAGTCCAACCAGTTTAGTCTCATTTTATTTCAAACACTTTTTACATTTTTTTGTTATGTTCCCTAAATGGAATGTGCCAAAGATGAACCGTGGCTTTTCCCTTACAATTCAACACTATATGCCGTGTTAGTTATGTGTTAATTAATAGTAATCTCATTAACAGATTCTCTTATCTGAAGCTTCCTCACAGTTACCACTGGCCTATTTTTACAAGCCACAATAGTAGTAGAAATATAACCTAACCCTGCAATAAATGTCTCAACAACTTTGCTGCTTACCTGTGCAGTTTCTTGGTCTTTGTGATGTAGTTGTTTTCTTATGTTCTTAAATGAACATCTGAGGCATTCACAACACAATTTTTTATAAGATGTTTAAATTACACAAGGACAACTACTAATTTGCTAAAATCAGATTTTATGGAGGAATAGGGACTAACAGTATTTGCATGACATTTGTCATAATCTTTTACTTAAAACGTCTGAAAAAGTTCATTTTCCAGTTTTCATGTTTTAAACAACCATGAAAATGCAAAGAAAAAATTTTTTTTAACAGCTTTTTGAGTAAGAGACACTTTCTAGAATCTAGATGGTCTGCTTTCGTAGCTCTTTGGACCCTGTACCGTGCATCTTAATAGTTGCTAAAAATTCTAAATAAGCCAGCTAATAGTTTTGAATACAATATAATAGCAAATACCAGTCCTATAAGTTGTAGCAAGTTTCTTAAAGAAATTTTGAATTTAATTTTTAAAACAGAATGAAAATAAAATAAACAGAAGGTTTAGGTCAATTTTTCGTATTATCTTGGAATTTGTTTTAACTATTATTATTTTTTTTACATCAAATAATATCTTATTGAACAAAATCTACAATTTATTTTTATTAAATGTTTTATATGTCCCCCTGTTTTAAAATCCCAAAGTACAAAAAATCTGTTGCCTACCTGTATTTAAAATGGCAACAGCTTTCCTATGGAGGATATTTAACAAAAAGTTGTGCTTTATTAGCCGTGTAATATTTGTGGCTCTAAATACCTTTTATTTAGCTGCACTTGGGAAAAATTGCTATTTGGATTTCAAAGGTTTCAGACATCTGGTTTAGCTTCATTCCATACAATAATCACTGCATCTAGTGCAGTTACAGTGTAAGAAATATGGGGCAATAGTAATTCAAACCATATTGAACAATACCTGAACCATGTGGATGAAGTCAAATTTCTTGATGTCTCCCTTTGCCTTCACTTGCTTCTCATAGTCTTCACTGGACGTGATGTGCCATGAAAACTGGATCTTCTGCAGGTTGGCAGTCTTGGCAATCAAAGCTAATCAATTATACAGAGAACATAGTTATGACATTAAGATATTTCAGCGTTTATAAACAGCCTTCTAAAAATGACCTTTATCCCGTCGTCCAAAACTGTAATTAAAATCATGTACATATGACCACCATTTTTACAGTGTCTCCATGTTTTCTTGATTTTTTTTTTTTTCAATGTCGTATTTTAGCTTGAATTTCAAAGCAGACCTATTATTATTAAGACCCTTTTCTGAAAATTCAAGCTCTGCCATGCTCTACTCTGCACTGAGATTTTTGTGTTTCCATTGATCCACTGACATCTGGGTGTGTGGCTTAAGGTCCCACCTCTGACCACTAGCATTGTGTGCTCTGCTGTTAACAGCTACTGTGTCACATTAACATATTAAAGATGTCTTTTCTGAAGCTATAGAAGAAGAAGTCAGAAAGAAATATAATTGTTCTAATAGATTGCACAGATGACTCATTCCATTTTCCTCCTGCATTGAATCTGTGGATCTCAAGACCTAATTATGTTTTTAAAAGCTATGGTTCTTCTACTTTTATTTTCATTTGTTTCGGCTAAAGGCATGGGTTGTCATTTATTAAAAGTAAACTTTATATTTGTTGCCTCGCTCTGGCCATTGTGGTCTTTTATATCTTCTTAACTTTTCATCTCGTCAACAATATTTGGTTATTTACCAAAAGCAAGACAATACATTTTTCATTCCAGTCATAGTAGTAGGGCTGCAGTGGCTTAACAAAAGAAAAGAGAGCTACAGTTAGCATGCAGATCCATGCATTTGAGCTTAGAAGCAAGCACTTCTGCACCCAGCACTTAAGTCCCACAACAATGGACTCCGGACAGGAAAGCATTTACGGTTAACCCGAGCTGGCTCCTATGGAATTTAATATGGGCCTTCTTCTATTGCATTTGCTCCATGTGCAAGGTTTTTTATGTACTTTAAGCTCATCTATGATGGATGATCTTAAGGTGCTCATTGTCTGTTTTCACATCATTAAAGAATTTCAGGATAATCCCTTTTATAATTGACAACCTTTGCTTTAGAACCTTAACCCAGTGTTCCCCACACCTGTCCTGCATGTTAAAGGTGTTTCTTTGTTGCATCACACCAGCAAAGAATCGATGATTAACAAGCTTCTTTAGCACTTGATTGCAGAGGAGGAACCCTAAAATTTGTCAGGTGTGCTGGAACAGAGACTTATCTAAAACATGCAGTGTAGGGTTCCCTGAGGACCAGGGTTGGGAATCACTGCCTTAACCGTTGTAACGGACTGTTGGCAAATATTGATCTGTAAATGGACATTTTTAGCTCAACAGGTACATGCATTTTCTTTATTGGACATTACTGGTTGTCAATTATTAAAGCTTTATATATTAGTCAATTTGTAGTTAAATTATGTAACACATTTGGTATGAAGAGTCTTTGCAAAATAGAAAGAGATTTAAGAAATAAGTTAAGGATCTAGATAAACAAATACTTTTTCTAAACTTTCATAAGTTTGAAACTGTTTTAAAATTGAACTTAAAAACCCTGTTTTATAGTGACTCAATCTTTAAAAACCTGTAACACCAGTTGAAGCTTGAGAAAATAAAACAAATAAAAGAAAACAGATCAGAAAGCACCCACAGACCTCTGATCAGTGCATCTATTATGTGGTGGTTCTTTCATATTAAATAATACAGAGCACAAAATTCTGCCATCAACAACAAATTGCATGTTATTCATCATTACCTTTGAAGTTATCTGTGAGCTGAGAGCTGCCCTCCACAATGTCAGCAGTTACAGGAACAGAGGGAAACGCTGACTGCAGAAGTGAGAGTATCTGGGCATCCACCTCACCTAAAGCAGACCATAAAGTTTTAGTATTTCTAAATTCAACCACACCTTTCTGCTTTATGTGATTTTATTTCACGAATGACAAAAACCTGACAAAACAAAGACTTGTCGCACCTTTTATTGTCTTTTTTGTAATTTATAATTGTCTGGGATTATCTGTAAAGCTCTTGGCTTTTTTTTTTTTGTGTGGAAAAAGAAATGGCACCCATTTCAGAATGGGTATTGCTTGGCTGCTACAGCAATCACTCACCTATTTAAAAAAATCAATAGCAGCTCAGGCTGAAACAATTAATCGGATTAGTTATGATTAACTGATTATAGAAACAATCAACAAATTCAGTAATCAAGAAATCGTTAAATGGAGTAACATGACTGACTGACAGAACAGCCTACTTAAAGCAGTAATTAAACCACAATCTATATATATAGATATATATAGATATATATATATATATATCTTTATATATCACTTCTTTTCATCTAACAATATGCTCTATCAGGAACCCCTCAACTAGAAAAACTTTATTTTCCATTTAATTCTGTAACAACTCTTCTTTAACAAATCCTTCTCGATCAGATTATTGATTAATCGATGTGCAAAATACTCATGAGTTGCAGCCTAACAGCAGCAAAAAGGAAATCTGAAAGTAGGGGATCCAGAAAAATAGGGATGTATAAAGCACTTTCTCTTTGTCCTAATTTTCATTCAAATGAGTTGGTTCCTATTATTAGATTAAAAAATGTAAGTGTAATCTCTTATACCTCACATGGACGACCATTGCTTTATAACCTTATGGATTAACCGTTGGTCGATATTGCTCTGTAAATGGGCGCAACAGTTGCATGGTTTCCATGCATTTTCTTTATTGCACCTTGCAGGTTTTCAATCATTAAACCTTTTTTTGAAAATTAGGCAATTTATAGTTTAAATCTGTTATATAACATCACATACCACCACCACTCCCGACTCCAAGCACATCCAGGTTGCTTTTACCAGCTCCAATTCTGAAAAACATAAAAACTGGTTAAAGAAGAGGAAAAAAAAGTTCAAATAATGGGGTAATCAGTTAGCTAGAAATCATTAAGCCAGTTATTACTTTGATAGACTTCCATCAGTAATGGCAGGTAAATAAATTCTTCTTTGTAAAATTGACTTTTTTTAAATAAGTAAACTAACCACGATCCTACGTCTGTATGCCTTTTTTTTTGTTGTTCATTGAAAACAAAATATAAGCTATGGAGATGCATACAGTATAGTTTGACACATACATGTTGACAACATCAAAACTTGTTGAAATTATTTTTCTCTATTGTAGGCAATAATATGTCTGTTCGATTGGTAAAAACTGCAAATGGCACCTTGGATCTCAAATTTCACTAAAAAGTTTCCAACGTTTATGGGTGGATCCTGAAAAAAAAACTAAGAGCAATGATCATCTGGCTTTATTAAGAAAGCTTTTGAAGTAATATAACAGGCCAATTTAGAAATAATTTAATTATTACATTCAAAATTTCCTTGAATAATAATAATAAAAACTAAAATACACAAACCTCTTGTAGAAAAAGAAATGGTTTATTGAAACCTTTTGGTTTTTCATATAACAATGGAGCATTGTGTTAAAATGGGCATGACCAACCATTCCTGAGGACGAGATGTATGAATATAAGCTTTTTCTTTGCACCTTTGAAATTCTGCAGGCAGGATGTTTTGAAGACATTTGACAATGGCTTCGTGCTCGCCAGACTTTTGCAGGTAAAACTGGAAAGAGTTGACATTGCAGCCCTCATAACAAGTCTGCTTTGCTTCCTCACTCATGTTTGCACTGAAAAAATAAATAAATAAATAAATCATAAAGAAAAAAATGTATATATACAATTATTGGTATCAACTTTAAATACTGTACCTTAAATTTGAGTTTTTTGGGGAAGGCAGGAAAGGATCACGCAGTTTCTACGCTGCACAGCTTCCTGGAACGAGAGTTGCAGGAAAAGAGCAAACTGCAGAATGGTTGCCTTCATTTTCAGACAGTTCCCTCCCAGGAGGAGTGGTCATTATGTAACAGTGGATCTAAATAGACAGTGACTGCGGCAGGCTGTTTTGACATTTATTAGAAGTGCTGTCCTCTATAGCTCCATTTGTTGATCTTTAAAATAAGATTGTTCCTAGTCTAAAAGATATTCCTACTAGTCAGAAATGTATATATAGATATCATAAAATACATTTTTGCTAGCAAAAAATACATTTCAAGCTGCCAAAAAGTGATTATTTTAGATATCTGGAAGTAAAAGCCCAATACACATGAATGGGAAACGTAACGTCATTTGTACTTGTAAGAATTACATTTCAGATATCTGGAATGTAGCTATATTTTAGATAGGAAGAACGTTATTTTAGATATCTGAGATGTTTATTTTGACTAGGAAAAAATGCGTTGGAGACATCTGGAACGTACATTCAGTCAAGTTAATAAATGTCAAAATGGCCTGCCATATACACTGTTGACAGGTGGACAAACACAGGTGCAGCACCTGCTCCCTCTCCTCGCTGTGTATTGATTCCAGCTGCCATGGTGACGGTATGCTGCTCTGACAGAACAGCGACTGTCCCACCAGCTAGTTTACAGAAATAACTAAGGCATTTGCTTCCTAAACTTCAGATGACAAAATGTATACGTCCCTTGATTTTAATTTATCTAAGGAATGCATTCCTGCATTCTTGTTTTAATATTGACTGCAAAGATTTAATAACTGTTTTTCTGATTATAGATTAAGCTGAATAGGAATTTATTAATCAGAATTCTGATAATTCATGTGAACCATACTT